GCGCAACCCAGGCATCTGCCCTGACCGGGAATAGAATCTCCTGGTTCCACTGAGCCATGCCGGCCAGGCCAAGTTCATTCTTTCAGTGTGAAATGTATGTTTACACATTTACAATTATGCTCCCAATATTTAGATTAGGATTGACATGTGATGAGAAATTAGTTTTAGAGGTGACAGAAGAGACAAAAGTAGGTTTGACTGATTAATATGGAAATAGTGTAACCTATGGATACGTTATTGCTTATTGATTATCGACAAAAGCTCATTTACTATAAAGCCTTCAGGAATACACATCTGTTTCCTTAAAAAAGAAAAAAAAAGGATGAAATATATTTTTAGATCAGTGATTTTTAAAATCCCAGGTTGGTATTTTTTCTCTGCAATGTTTTCTATTTGGAAACTAAAAATATGAAATTTCTCTACTGCACAAGTTGCCAGTATGTTTAAGAGCACATCTAAAAGAAATCAACGCTTCCGTCTAGATCTGAAATGAGTTTTTCGATCCTTTGAAATTAAAACATTAAGGAAAACTATAATAAATTATAACTCAATACAATAAACCAGCATCGCAAAAGTTTTACTTATATCAATGAAAACAATAGAGACAACCCAACTTACAAGCCATTGGAGGCCACACTTGCTTCTCTCTTTTCCAATTCCTTTGCGTTTTGGTGCCTACCACATAATTACATCTTTTTATGTGTTTATCAGACTATTCATTCATTGTTTTCATGACACTATGCGACACCGTAGTGACCCAATATAACATTAAGATATTTTAGCCCTGGCTGGTTTGGCTCAGTGGATAGAGCGCTGTCCCTCCGATTGACGGGTCCAGGTTCCATTCTGGCCAACGGCACATACCTCGGTTGCAGGCTCAATCCCCGGCCCTGGTCGGGGCCCCTGTGAGAGGCAACCAATCGATGTGTCTCTCTCAAGTTGATGTTTCTCTCTCTGTATCTCTTCCGCTCCCTTCTACTCGCTCTAAAAATCAATGGAAAAATATCCTGATTGAAGATTAACAATAGCCAAAAAAAAGAAAGAAAATAAATATCTTCACACGTCCACTCTTATACATAAATCAAAACCTCTGCCTGCGGCTCCTTCCTTGGGCAGAATATAAATTCCTGCGGAGAGGAGCCGTGTTTTCTCATTGATGGCACTGCAGGTCTGCCGGTTCTATAAGACACAGAGTTGGTCATGAAAGCGAGGTTCCCTGCACCCCTTCCTTCCCACGAAAAACAGAAATAGCATTTCTACCAAAGCTGTCCACCTGACAGAGGCGGCCGCCTGTGCAGATGGCTCTGCTGAGACACACAAGACATCTCCGTGAGCGAGACCGTGTTTCCAAGCCAGTCGCTTCGCAATCAGGATGAGCCCCGAGAAAGAGCGCTTATCAATGCAACCATTATCTGTCCATTTGCTATTCAAGGTTATCGCCAATCTGCTGCGTAGCCTGTGATCAGAAAGAGATAAGGTAGCTGCACACTTATTTCCTCTGCTTCATCTCATCTCCAGGAAGCCCAACACAGAACAATGGCTGGGATTTTTTAAACGCTAGTGGCTGTGGACTTAAATGCAAGCTGCTATGCATCCTGCAAATATAAGATAATTTTGCCATCGTCTGAAAGCATGGACTTCATTAAAAGAACACATTTCCTGGTAGATAGATGTGCCACAAGCAAACTCAATCTCGCATCTCCTATACTTAGGCAGAAGGACATTTTTAAAGCTCAGTTAAAATTTAATTGGTCGCTCTGACCTTGAGTGCCACTTTAGGTGAAAAATATCACGCCGGTGCTCAGACTTCCTTGAGATTTATGATCTCATGTTCTTGAAAAAGGCCCAGCACCTCCGTGTTCCTGAAATAATTGATCTGTCTCTTCTAAGTGGTATTTTCCTGAATCTAACATCTGATGTCTCAGGAAGAAAAGTACACACTGATGAAAATACCTCGCTATATTTAAAAAATCCAAAAGAGCTACCAGCATTTGCATCTACCACATTATTACATTTATAAAAAACGGCCAAGATCATAAATTGGTAAACTTCTTAGCACGGAGAAGAAGAAAACGTAAACCAAGCTGCAAAACCATTGGCAAATATTGTTGACAATGATTAACCACCATGATTAATAAAGAGCAAACGTTTTAAATGTGCTAACGAGACACACTGCAAATCTACAATTCACATCTCTCTCCGTTGGAAAAGAACGCCACAAGGCGCTGTAAAACTTTTTGAACTCAGCAGTTTTTCTTTCTTTTCTTCTTTACTGGAACCACAAACACTACTAACGTCATCCAACACTCTGGGCCCGCCACGTTACTGGTTCCTCCTCTTAAAGAGAAGCAAATAGCACGGAGGCCATAAGACACGCAGAGAAGACGAGCCAATCTGAAAATGCCTGTGATTGGGTACCTTCTCGCTTCAAAGGAAATTCAGCATGAAATTCTGGGTCTGTTAGAAAAGAAGTAACTGGCAAGTACGACTGGATCTCCTACACGTGACGAAACGTCCCGTGTGAAATAACGTGCTCCACCTCACAGCACCTGTAAGAATCGTCACCTCGTAGCATGTACTGCGTACGCGCACCGGTGCAAGCACTTTCACGTACCAGCGCCTGTCGTGCTCACAACAGCTCTGTAAGGCAGGCACCGCATTAGTCTCCTTTGACAAAGGAGGAAGCTGCAGCGTACAGAGGACACAAGTTGCCCCAGGTCAACTGCAATCAACAGCTGAGGTGGGTCGCCAGCCCAGCCACGCTTCCTACAACTAGATATTCCATGTTGCACGAGAGCCAACGCACACAGAAAAATTCGAGTCATTCCTCCATTCGTTGAAAAATACGTATTAGGCACCTACTATATACAAAGGAGTTCCTGTCCACACAAAAGGTCTCCAGAGAAGATCCACGCTTTACCTTTGAAACGGGCCCTGAAACTGGGATCTGATGCAGTGGTTACATCTGAGCCCCAAACTATTTAATCACTTTTTTCTACAAACCCCCGCCCCCCAGAGGCCCCAGAGCACAGTCCGGGTATCGCACTTGGAGGAGTCAACGAAATCAGCTGGAAGAGAGCATTTAAAGGAACTTCCAGGAAAGGCTCAAACAGAAAGTGATGCCCTGGGAAGCGGTTTGTCCGTGCGGAGGAAGCCTCGGGTTTACCGCCCTGGTTTAGACATCTCGGGAGTAACACATGTCCCACAGCCGTAGGGACTGCCAAACAGCAGTCACGTGGCGACTGACGTGGAACAAGGGGTTAGCTCTGAACAAGGCTTTGCAACTTGCAACACAAAGAGGCAAAGGCACCAAAGACTCTAGTCTAGACACACACACAATTCCGGGCTGGCGTCAGAAGCCACCTACAGGGAGAAGTAGTGGCCATCGCATTAGGAGCTGTAACACGAAAGGCCATCGACTATTTGCTCTTTTCAAAAATGTCAAAAAATGAGAAAACACTCATATATTTATTACACCTACTGGAAAGATCTCTCAGATAGATAAAATTACAAGCATAATATATACTACTTCTTTTGTATTTCTAAGTCTATTCTTCATGAAGTCTTTCATGATCTTTGGACAAACTTTTGGACAGACAGGAATATCAGAAGAGGGATACCTCTACGAAGCCATCACCTTTAGGAAAGAGGGAGCTAAACTATTTTCTGATGGGTCCACTTGGTCATATTTGTAACCTGTGAATTCACTATATCTCCCTTTAAATCATCTATGGGCTCCTAAAATTTGGGGCTATAAATTGGTAATAGTCAAACGTGTTCCTACAGATATAATAAACAAAGAAATGCATTTCCCTGCTGGGGGGAGGTGAATTAAATGAAAAAGCCAGAAGAGAAAATATTTTTAAAATAACATTTCTAAAGGTTAATTTTTTGAAACAAAAATATTACAACTCACACAAAATAAGGAAAAAATTACACTCACAGTCACACACTCCTACTAAACAGAAGTCACCTCTACACATCACTGCAGAATCCTCTGGAAGGGGTAATGTCTTGGGAAAGTTACAACTATTGAGAGTCAACCAGAACCCCTATTTTTTTAATGGCCTCAATTCTGTTCTGGGGTTAAAAGCCTGGAACGGATCTCAGCAAGCCCGTGAGGCAATTTCTAACCGGAGGCAACAAAGCTCCATAAATCTTTCCACACAGCTCGCAAGCCGGCGTGGCGACCATGGGTGTGGCTGCAGTTAAAAGTGAGAAAGCTTTGAAAGCTAAACTCGACAACTAGGCAAACACTGTCAGTGAGGCGAAAACCAAACCCATGATCCGGATTCTGCCCCAGCAAGATATCCTTTCATGTCCCACTTGGTTTATCATCAAGTTCATGGAGTTGGGATCCTTGAGCCACGAACGCCTTTCACCCACGACACTGTGGCCGTGCAGGTTGCTAATCTTTGGTAAGTAAACTGTGGAAGGCATTGCTTAATGGACGGTGAAGTAATTGCTCTAAAATAATGACGGGCAGACCTCACCATGTGACGTGGAAAACAAACAACTGCATGTTCCCTGCAGCCAGAGTCCTTCCATTCTGTCTTCATTTATAAAAGAGTTTTCTAAAAGCATGTTTCCAAATGGGGAGGGTGCCGAAGCTCTCCGTTTTATGAGCCCTCCATCTCCGTAGAAAATGCTAATTTTTAAGCCCCAGTAGGCAGGTTGGTTTTCTTTCCCGATTTGGGAGGGAACAGGGGAGTGTGCTGGACACACTGGCATTAACCAGGCCCCCTGAGGCTGCTCAGTAAAGCGAATAACTGCCGATCGGGGAAAGAGTGTTCCTGAAGGTTACTCACCATGTGACCCTGTCCGAGGTGGCACCATCAGGTAAATGATTGACACATGAGATGTTGACTCCTGGTCACACATTACATACCAAACTGCGGGAAACAAAGGCCAACACTCGGCCTGACTTTCTACCGTAATCCCCATAGATGGTCCTAGTCACGCCCTAAGTCACAACCAGAGACGTGCAACCAGAAACATACCTGCGTCCACCTGCCTGGAGGCTTTTCGCAGTCCATTGGTCCGTTTCTGTGCAGAAAGACAAAACAAAGAGTTTGTATTAGTGAAGTGCATTCCTTTGTGAAGGATCTAATAAAATGTAAAACCTTCAAAAAATAAATTGTTAAAAATAAATAAAATTGTTATGTTGCATTTCAGTGGTGGATATCTACAGGCTTGTTATGCTAATATCTCAAAAGTATGTTTAAATTTTTTAATTAAAAAAATGTAACCAAATAAATTGGTTTTTTAAAGTATACTACTTTGTGACACTTTGGAAAGCCAATGAATGTACTTTTTTCATAAAAAAGTATGACTAAATTGGATCCAAACATTTGGTTCTAAAGCTTGTTTTTATAGGTTAACCTTTTTGTTTCTCCAATGAGTCTTCCACCTGAACAACACTCCATTGGCTCTGTTAATACTTGGAACACTGTGGGAGAGAAGGAGGCTTCCATTTGCCACCTGTGGGTATTAGTACTCATTTTTTTAAAAGTCAGAATGACTACAGGAGTGATGAGAGCAAAGCCCAGGCAGCCCAGTGCGGTCAGAACATGCTCCCAGCAAAAACGTGATCTCCAAAATGCTAACTCGGTGATTTTTGAGGCCTGACAGACCAGCTCCTGGAGAAGATGCAGCTCCAAAGACCTCAAGCTCCGACCTCAGCAAACACTTAAGCGAGGATGGTATTCTAACTGTGGGTCGGTTGTATCTTAATTCTTCAAGAAACAAAACAGGCATGCAGCCTGTGAACCACAAAAGCCCATTCTGATTAGAGAAAAGGAATCCATAAGAAAAACTGTGCACCTTAATCAATAAAGAAAAAAAAATTTACATGAAAAAAAACCTGTGCATTGCAAAACTTACAGATGAGATGCAAAACAAAAGGTTTTAAAGCTTTGAAAATGCATAGGAACAAATCTGATTCCATATTGAATTTGTTTCTACCTAATAACTATGGTAACCCCACTGATTAAAAGTAGATTTTCGCTTTGTATTACACATCTGGGTGCAAGGCTGAGCCTATAACGGCCATGTCATCCAGATTTTCACAGCCGCGGTTTTTCCGACGTGTGTCAGGGACTGCGCCTGTGTAGACTGCGCTCCATTCGGGGCGCACCCAGCTTTGCTCAGCACACACTAGCCATGGGTTTCTCCTTGGATTCCTCCTGTTGTTTCCTTTCACGAGTTAAATGGGGGAAATGGGCTCCTACAGAAGCCAGGGGCCTCCACGCCGTGGTAAGCAGACGTTCAGGGCTCTCAGGTGAAAGCCCATTGGAGAAATTGTTTACATATAACTTTTTCACTCCACTACTTTCAAAATGGATTTGTGAAAAGGCCCACGGGATGAAGCTCAGGCGAACGAGATGGATATCTGTACTGGACAGACCAGTCAGGAAGAGAGCCGCTGGGAGCGAGAAGTCAGTGTAGTCCTGGCCATCTGGTCAACCAGGCACAAAGGAGAAGCATGGTGAGTCACAGGTTCATATGCAATCACTTGGAAGAAAACTGCTCTCAAAGAAAGACACTTCTCTGCCTGAAATTTTATGTAGAAGTTTTGGAGCTCTCTCTATAAATGAGCTCAACTGACAATATTTTCTATATAATGATGGGTATTTCATTGTTAGTGACTTCCTGCATAGCCCTCCTCCTTCTGCACGTAGAATAGGAGCTGTTTTTCTACTGCTCTTACACCAACTACTCTCAAAGGGCTAGGAAGGCAAAAAAGGGATTCAACCGTTGGGCCTTACTCCTAGAATCCCTAAACCAGTACTATTTAAAAACTATCAACTTAGAATGTGAAAAAGAACACTCAATTTCAAGAGTAACTCCACATTACCTTAGAAATTAGGGTTAAAATTTGGAACACGGGGCAATTTTTAAGAGTATGAACTGTAGCATCAGACTGCCCAAGTTCAAATTCAGACCACCAGGCACCTGTTTGATCGTGAATTAGTTAACGTCTTTGTGCCTGTCTGGATCCCCAATTTCCAATGGGGATTATATCCCCATCGGAGGTAATAACAGTGCCTACTTCATAGCATGTGTGGTGAAAGTTAAGTGAGTTAATTTATGTTAAGTGCTTGGAACAGTTCCTGACATGTAGCAAGGATTATTAAGTGAGATATTATTATTGTTATTATTATTATTGACCTTATTAACTTAATGGTGTTTGGAATGTTTAAATTCATATAAAGGACAAATTCTTCTACTAAAGTTATTGCCCTACTGCTTATGTTTTAGGTTCTTCCTCTAGAAAATCACTGAAAACCAGTGACCTTGAGAACAGAAACTTCTCTACAACAAGAGTGGGAAATGGAACAAACCATGATCTGGTGAATTAAAAAAAGAAAAAAAAAAAAAAAGAGGGAACTTCAGCTCAGAACAAGTGCATTTAGAGAGGTTGAGATTTATTGTCCTTTAAAAGCACCTAAAAAGTATTTTGTTATGAAATATTGGGAAATGTTTAGCAGAGCATGTTTAAACACACTCCACTCCTCCTGCCTAAATTCTCAAAAGCCTGGCACCGAGCAGGAGTTGACCTTGTCGCCAGCAGGGACTGGTGGGCTCATGTAATGGGCGTCCCTGGAGCTCAGGTACAGCCCCAGGAGATCGGGAGGGTCCACCTTCAGAGCCTTCTCCATCCCCTTTCATCTACGGGGGGAGAGTGGTGGTGGGGGGGGGGGATAACAACCGAAGAACCTACTTTTATTTCTTGGTGCATTACCTTTTACCTTGTCTCTCTCTAAAAGAAATATCTTGATCATCTAAGACTCTTCCTGCCTCTTTGGAGACACACCTAATTCTGTTGGTTTTGCCAACAAAACAATCACAGGTTCACTTGCCGTAAGGAACTGGCTTTGGTTCCTCTCTCTGTTTTGAAGGCAGAAAGCCCTGTGTGAAGGAACAGATTTAACGTAGGTGTGTATGAAGTAGGTATGCAATGATGGCCTCGCTTCCTGGAGCCAGAGGTGGCTCATGCTAGAATGGACGTGAGGTGCACGTCTCACCGGAGGCTAAGGAGACCCGCGGGGCCTGTGGCTACTGAAAACTGGCCCACCTTGACAATGAGGTATAACATGAACAGTAAAAAGTGTAATCGTGGCTCTGGAAAAGGGGAACCACATAGGACTACAAACAGGTACATGGAGAGAAAAGAGAACTTCATGAGAGGGGAAGCAATAAACATTGCAGAGCTTACAGAGGCCTCCATCGTTCAGTTCAGGGAAGATTCCTGAGCACCATAGCAGCATCGGTCCTGGTGGGGAGGACGGAGTGAAAGACACTTCCTAACAGCCGATTCTCCCTTAAACCGAGCTCAAGTTCCCAGATAAGAGCTTGCTATAATTACCCATCCAAAGTAGAGATTACTAGCGGATTCACACAGGAAATAAAAATTACACTTATTACATTCAAAAGTTAATAAGCAAGTCGCTGAAACACTGATGCTACATTTTTAAAAACTCAATGTGAAAATGAATTCCTTTCATGATAGGTGCACGTGTAACTTTTAAGAACACGCACACACACACACACAAAAACAATGCCTAGAGAAAACTGTTTAGCATCCTGCGAAAATTATGAACCACTTCTCATCTGCACACTTTCTTTCTTGGCATAACGTGAATCAAATCAAGTGAAATAATCTTCCCAGAGAAAGCAAAGTAATGTCTGTGTCCAACAGGATCGAGGCAGACTAGCCCTGAGATGAAGTCCAGGGTCTGCAAGGAAACCTGTGCCAATAACCTGCCACCAGCCTGCGAGGGAGAGAAGGGGGCGGCTCTCCAAGGTCTTCATTGCGCCCCTGGAACAATCCTCACAGTCCTGGTGACAATCTCACCCGTCGGCTACACACTACAGGAAATCCCTCAGTAACTCATTTTACCCTAGAACAACCTGTGTGGCCTATGTCACAGTCAGTGTTATCTTGTTACACATTCCCTCGATCTAGAGTCTAAAATACAGTCAGCTCACACATTGGACAGGCACACCTGAATGTCCACATCACACTCCTGTTACCTTGGATGGAAAAAAAAATGTGTGCTTTTGCAAAAGAAAAGCAGAAAATAACTTACCTCTTATTGACATCTTGCAGTGCTTTTCATTATTCTTACCAGCTATATGAACACCAGCCTATTAAACGCTTACTAATATGACACCACTCTTAATGAGATGCAATTGTGTTAAAAATAATTTGGCATGGGATGTTTTTGTCATTCTTTTATTCTGAAACTAGAGGTCTGGTGCACAAATTCGTGCATGGGTGGGGTCCCTCAGCCTGGCAGGCAATTGGGGCAATCAGGGCTGATCAGGGCTGGCAGGCCGGGGGGGGGGGGGGGGGGGGGCACCGAGGGAGGTAGTCTGGCCACAGAAGGTTGGCTGTGGGAGTGCACTGACCACCAGGGGGCAGCTCCTACATTAAGCGTCTGCCCCCTGGTGGTCAGTGCATGTCATAGTGACTGCTCAACTGGTCATAACAGTTGCTCAGGCTTTTATATATATAGATTCTCTGAAAATGGACTTCAGGTTCCCATCACATCAGACATAGTTTCTATTTTAATTTTCTTTGCTATGACATTATTTGGAGGAAGTCGGGTAAGAAATGTGTTACTTTGGGTTGAAGGCCAAGGCAGTGGTTGCCTGGAACTGGCCCTGTTTTTCATTATTTCTCCTTTTTTTTAAATAGCTTTATTCCAAGGGATGACAGGGACCACAGAGTACTAAGCCATTAGACGTGAGAGTGTGTTAAACCAGAAGGAAATGGTTATCAGATCTTGGTTCGAGTCATACGAATCACTTTGTGTTCCAACGTAAAAGCACTAGACACACAAAGCACATCCCTGGGTGGCCAATGTTGGAACCTCAGTGCTAGTGAACCGCGGGCAGCAACAGGCTGCGTGACAGCGACGGGCCCCCGGCCTCCTGGGAGGAGGCCACCCTTCCTTCTGTACAGACAGGGCAAAGCTCCTCCTTCCAAGGAAATGCCTCCCGGGCCCTGCGCTTCCTAAACCTCCGGGTTTGTGGAATTCCGTGGCGGGGGATGCACCTCCTCATGAACGCCACCGCATGCATCTGAAATTTACCTGCACCAATAAGATGCTGACACTTCCAGTTCCCACACCAGGCTTAGGCGAAATATCCACATTTTCCCTCCAGTGAGACCTCCCCTCCCGCAGGTGACCGTGGAAACGCCTCTGACTAAACCCGTGCGTTTCATTCACGCGCCCTTGCTTGCTCCCCGTCTGTTTCCATCCACCCTCAGAGGCACATTTAACCGGCCGAGAGCTCACGCCCGTTAGCAAACCACCCACTGCAAACGTGATCTGAAAAGGCTGAAATCTTCCTCTTACCTCCGGTGCTTTGAGCGTCCCCGGCTCTGAAAGAAACGTAAAGATGGGCATGGTCAGTGCAGGTCTCCGTTTGGTGAGCAGCCTCCGCTGGCTGGGTGCGGCCGGCCAGACGCCTCGGCTCTGCCGCCCGGCCGGGTACCTGCAATAACTTTCCAGGGTCCCTCGGGCTGGGCTGGGAATCGTTTTGCAACTCCGGTTCCCTGGCCCTATTGGCTGTCGGGAGAGTGACTCATGGTCCTGAATGACTTCTCGGTCATGCTTAACTTTTTCAACTGCTTGTGGAGCAGTGTCAGTCCAGCCGCAGAAAGCTCCCTGACACGGCGGCTTGCACTAAATTTATGTGCAATGAGAAAGCTGGGTGGGAGCTTTCAACACACCTGGTTTTAAGAACCTCCACGCACCAAGTCACAGAGGCGCTATCCTGTCTGCAAGCATCGCAGATCGGACACAGGACAATACTGCGTGTCATTTTTTTGCATTAAGTGGCTGCAACACTTGTTTTTAATTTTGAGGGGGTGGGGAATACATTCGATTTAAAGATGGAAATAAAAAGCAGAAGGTCGGATTCCAATCAGCTTTTCCTCTCCTCAGCAGTGGACCCGTCTATATATAAAACCATGACGTCCATTCCATTTTAGTTCCTGAAAATGACTAGCAGGTACGCAGGGCCAGGAGCTTCAGGTGAGCAACGCGGCAGGAAAGCACAGGGCTGCCCTATAATTAGCGGCTCCGGCTGCACAGGGAGGCCCATGGGGCTATTTTCGCTCCTTTCCCCACACCCAGGGGTGCCTGGGCAGGTTCTAACTTCTCCGCTGTGAAGGGAAACACCTCGCCCTTCTCTCCTATGCCTGTACTTTCCCACCCAACACGATCCTCTAAAGAAGGACCGGAAAGAGAAAAGGAAACCGAGGGGGGAAAGTCAGGAGGAGGGGGAGCCTAAATGCGAGCTCTCTGGGCCGAGGAGCCCCACCGAGCAGAGTTCAAGGGCGCCCCGACCTTCAGAGCCCAACTGGCGGCCACAGGTTGTGCACACAGAACGACCGCCTGGGGCAGGCAACAGGAGGCTGCTCTGGTTCTGTTTTCATCTGAAGGACTGACTGCTCCTGATTCATGGAAAGGAAAACCCATGGGCGAAAAGTCACCTTTCTGGGAAAAGCCGCGAATGCATTCCTTGATCCAATTTCCACCCCCATCACCCGGCTTCACGGGCCACTGTCAGGTGGGAGGCTGCCTCTGCCCAGGGTTCCTGCACAGGAAGCGACTCCACTCCTGTCCTCCCTCTAGAAAGAGGCCGGCTGCAGGGGAGAGGCGGGGAGAGGCTGCTTTGGGGAGAGGGTCTGTGCGCGCACCATCTGGCTGGATTCTGGGCCCAGACGAAGGACCCAGGCGAGGTGAACTGGGTTCCTCACAGCAGTCCTAATACCTGTCCCACTGGTTTGACCAAAAAGAGCCATCTGCCCAAATAGCTCTAAGCTACTTTCTCCTCCAATCAGAGAGGCAGAGCGAGCCAACAGGAGGCGAGTCCACCTCTGCCTTCCCGGGAAACTGAGCAGAGCTGATGCTTCCAGATGACCTCTGACATCGCAAATCCCAGATCTCCTGGGCCCTGTTCCCACGGAAGGTGCCCCTTCATGTCAATCCCAGAGGAGCCTTTTGTTCCTGGCTCTGCACAGAGGTGTTCCTGTGTCTGGGGAAGCAGGCCCTTTACAATGCACTTTACATGTAACTGTAAACCCACCGCACCCAGGAGGGCACCTGGGGGCCCCTCGGGAGGAGGGGACCGTGGCCTCCCGGGGGGCAGGCTGCTGTGCAGACACTGGCATCTCTTCACCCTGAAAGCGGGCCCCCAAAAAAGACCCTCATGTACAGCTCTCTGCATCTTGATAGGGTTCGAGTGCCCGCTGGCCAGCTGCCTGCATGAGTGAGCCTCTCTCACAGAAGTCAAGAGGGTGTGAGGCCCGGCCGGCGTGGCTCAGTGGCTGAGCGTTCACCTATGAACCAGGAGGTCACAGTTTGATTGCCAGTCAGGGCACATGCCCGGGGTTGAGGGCTCGAGCCCCAGTGTGGGGTGTGCAGGAGGCAGCTGGTCCATGATTCTCATCATTAATGTTTCTATCCTTCTCTCCCTTCCTCTCTTTGAAATTAAAAATAAAAAAAAAATGAAAAATGAAGAAAAAGGGTTTAAGGTGCAGGCAGCCACAAGTGGGAACAGACTGGACTCGGGGAACCACCCCACTCACTGCTCCTCCTTCACTCCTCCCGCTCCCTGCTGCCCCCACTTCGAGGATCCACTTTCCTTATCATCCTCACTGGATGCGCTAAGAACTGCTCTCCACAGGCCTTCCCGTGTAACCCACAGAGGAAAATGGAGAAGGGGCTCTGGGCTGGGTGCAACTCCAAGTCCAAGGCCAGGGCCCTGCAGTGGGGCTGACCCTGGCCCTCGCCAGCACTCCCGGTCCTCACGGCCCCCACCCTCCCCTGCACTCTACCTCCTCCCCCTCCCCCAGAGAGAGGCTCATTCCCCCCCCTGGCATTGGCGGAAGGCCGCTCACACTCTGACCTGCGCAGGCTGCGCGATCACGTAAACAATGGCTCTTGGGAGTCAGACCTTTTACTCATGATATTTCGTGGGAGGATCCTGTACATTTTCTGAGAACAGGGCCAAAGCCAACAGGTTGGAAGTAACGCTTAGAAGCTGTTCTGAGTTCAGAAATTCCCAACCAGGCCTTTACTGACACATTTCTAATTATCGAGCGGACTGACTCACTCACAGACAGAAGCTCCATCCTGACCACCGTACTGATGCAACAGTGTGTTAACGTCGCCTAAAATAACAGGCAGAAGAGGGGGGGGGGACCCAACGGCAGGCTGTTTTCCAGGTCAGAGTTCCTGCCGGCTGGGACGCCAGGAAAGAACCTCCCGGGATGCAGCGCTATGGAGACGCTGCTCTGATTTCCAGCCTGCCAATCCGTCCCCCACCTCCTGCTTCACCCAAACTGCAACACGGGCGCTTAGATCCCTACACAACTCTGAGTCACGGTCCCACATCAGGACTAAGACACCGAGGGCTGATCACCATCGAATCCACTCTGACCTGCTGGATGAGATCTGCAGACACAGTCCCCCTCTGTCTCTTTCTCCTGGGAACGGCCTTAGGATAATAAGTCAATTCTTCCACTTTGTCCAAAAGTCTTTAATCCTCAACGTGTCTTTCCCCTGCAGCCTACTTCTCGGGCTCCTATTGATCAAACTGTAAAATGTTCTTGCCCTTTCAAGCACCTTTCCAGGTGGTGACTCACGGGCCCGCAAGGGGTTCAGACCTCCCGTTCTTTCATCAGGTCCCAACTAGCTCGCTGTGGCTCAGAGCCGAGGTGCGGCTGAGGGCGGGGCCTGCAGGGCTCCAGCCTGCAGCCAGCCCGGGGCGCCACGGGCATGTGTGTGAGAGAAATGGTTTCCACCGAGGCTGTACACTCACGTCCCTGATTCATTTACTTAAACAAAAATCCGGCCCTATAATATGTGTCCGTCCCATACAAGTGGCTCCCGGTGCGTGTATCACGATGCAATCTGCTTGGTCTTTTACCTGAAGTTCTATTTCTTACAGCAAAGCACATCGATACTCAGTGCAATCACTGGTCTCCAAAGGGGGCACAGACAAGTGTTACTCGTGTAGCTTTGGACGGTGCCTTGTCATCACAGCTAACGCAGGCCGTTTCTGTGAAACAGTGACGCGAGAAGACAGTGGGAACTGAACCAGTGTGGGGGGAAGTTGCGTGGATACTTGCTCGCCACTCAGATCTACAGCAAAATCTTGGGAAACAAAACATGATAAGCAATACTTGGGGGGAGGCTTTGAGTTCAAGTCTTTTCCGGACTCTAAGAGGAATCCAACCATGTAACAGATCCCAGTTCACTTGAATAATTACTACTGCATCATGCAACTGACCAAAACAGGCAAGTGGAAGGAATCATAGCAAGGCCTGAGTATAAAATTGTCTTGATTGTTTAAAAAAGAGGACTGACTTATGTGATAGGATTTAAGTAATACGAAGTAGAACCAAAGCCAGTTTTGGGTTATAGAATCGACGATCAAGCCTTGGTTCATAGAAAAGTTAAAATACCTAATGGTGGTAGGTTGACAAAATTCTATTCACATGGCTGCGGTCATGTTAAAATACTACAATACTCTCTATAAAAGAGCCACTTCGGATGCCAGTTTGGGGGGTAGCAACGTTGCAGGGTTAAACCAATTGGCCACCAAGGCCTCTCTCTCCAGTAGGATAGCTGCAGCCGGAGCAGTTTTTAAACAGACAAGCAAGTGGGGTGCACTTCGGTGAAATACAGAGCAGCTGAGGCTTGCGACCCACTCCCCGGAAGGTGCTTTAACCGGCAGCGTCCCCTTTCTGTGTTTAAAGGGAGAGGGTGCAAAGCAAGCTGTATTGAGCAACGTCAGGGCGAGAGGGGACCCAAGGGTGTTTGACCAGATGCGACAGGAGGGGAAAAGCGCAAACGTCCCCAGAGGTTGCAGTCCCGGCTCAGGCCTTCCCGGGGGGGACACTGTGAGAAAGAAATGCCACTCGGGAATGACGCCAGCGTGGCAGGGACTTGTTCGGAGACTCTCGTCTAAGCGAGGCCATACCTAGTCATTACTGAGCGGGACGTGCTGGCAGCACACCTCCGAGTCCCTGCGTGTTGATCGCTGAGGTTGCCATGGCGAGCGGGAGGAGTCCGCTCAAGTTCAGCGACAAAGAGGGTTGGATCGGACTGCCTGCTCTTTACACCCGTGCGAGTGTCCAGATGTGAAGGCACAAACTAACCCCCCACCTTCCAATCTGTTTCCAAGCTGCACAGTTGGTCTTACAAATAGCCAACATTTATCGAAAGACCTTTCCCATACTTCACGTGCACTTGAGCTCGTAGTCTGTCGGAGTGGAATATTCATGAGAATGCATTACTTCCTCCACTCAGAAATGCGCGGTATTTTTTGCCAAGTGATTATTATTTCAAGGATGAATGAAGACGAGGTAAATTTAAGGGATACGGAGCATGAAGTATAAAGGGTTTCAGAGCCCTGGGAAGACAGCACCCAGAGAAGGCTTAGCGTCCACAAGAAGAGGTGACTCAGCTACTTCAAATGCTTGAAGGTTGGTATTCAGCCACATCCAACATACAAGGACTGCAGTGGGCGGAAACCCTCCTACTGGGGGGAAGGGATCGCCTTCTTGGTCTGAGGCACCCTGACTCTGGACCTGGTACTAAGTGGGAGATACAAATGAGAAACACACCCCCTATGGGGAAAGACCATGCAATCTACTAGAGCAGTGATTCCCAAAGTGGGCGCTACCACCCCCCTGGTGGGCGCTGCAGCGATCCCGGGGGGGGGTGGTGATGGCCACAGGTGCATTTGTTTTAACTTTTTTTGTATTACCTTTCTATTCTGAGTTCAATAAATAGTTTCATAATTTCAAACTTCAATGTTTCTAATTTACACCTTTCTTTACTATATTTTACGAAAAAGGTAGAAACATTAATACATATATCTTTCTGTTTAATTGCTATTAAAATTTAAAAAAAAATTAATTTCCAGGGGGCGCTGAGTAATATTTTTTCTGGAAAGGGGGTGGTAGGCCAAATAAGTTTGGGAACCACTGTACTAGAGGAAATTAAAGCGTCAGTGAGCGGGGCTCACCACACACAGGCCCTGAGTCCCACCACAACGCCCAGCTGCCCCTGTCCTTCAGTTGAGATCACATGACCGGTTTTAACCAGTGGACTGTGACCAAACTAAACGGCACTGCTCACTTCCAGTCCCTGAGTCTGAAGAGCAGCAACCCTGGATGGAGGCCGTGTGTTGGAGAAGCAGCGCCACAGGACGGAACTGGTTTGGATCCCGAACCATTAACTAGAAGGGAGCTACCCCAGGGGCCAGGGCCCAGCACCGTGTGTGTGAGAAACAAACGGGTACGTGTTAAAGCCACTGGGACTGGGGGCGTTTAGCTGCCACAACACAGCCGAACTTTGGCAAATACATAAAACCCACACAAAAACTAACGAGAGAACCATTTACATCAGACCAGCGTTGGGCAGTGGAGGAAGGTTACCTGATTGGCAGAGAGCGTGGGGAAGCGGAAGGAAAGCAAGAGTAAGATCTTGGAACCGGAGGGAGAAAAGAAAGTGTGTTTCACGGAGAGGTAGCAGAAAGAGCCGGGCAAGAATTCTAAAAATGGATTCACAGAGGTCTGAACACCCCCTTTCCTGCTTTATAATAAATCCCGCAACCAAGCTGAGAGAGCGACGCTGCCCTTCAGTGAGGGGGGGCGGGGGGAGCTGTGGAAGTGACATTATCTATGATCTGCGGGGCCCCGACATTCTAAGTTACCTTATTTTCCTACGTGCATGACTCAGTTTCCTCATCTCAACACGAGAGGCCGAGGACTGAAGGTGTTTACATGTCCAGCTCTGAGGCAGCCCCTGAGAGCGGGCAGCATGGCCCTCAGGGAGGCCTGCATTTCTCACCCTTCAACACATGTCAACCTACACACAGCTGGTAGCGACTAACTTACCCACTTCCCAAGTGTTACTGCTTAACAACACCTATTAGGACATCGCTCCCTTTCCCGGAGAAGACGGAGCGCCTGCTTCTGCTGGGTGATTCTCTGTGCGGCCACACATGCGGCAGGTGTCATCACGCGAGTCCGAGCCTCGCGGCACAGCCCCGGGCGCAGGGTAAACTCAGGACCTGGCCCTCCTGGAGCGGAGCCTGTGTTCTATTATTCAACAACTTAGACACGTTACTTATGTCCCTGTTCCTCTGTTTCTCGTCTGTGAGACAAGAAAAGCAATGAAACCAACTTCACGGGACCTTGGTAGGACTACATGAGTGAACAGTGGTAAAGTCCTTCAACAGTGCCTGACACTTCATACATATTTATTTTTTAGGGAGGAAGGGAGGGAGGGAGGAAGGGAGGAAGGAAGGAAGGAAGGAAGGAGGGAGGGAGGGAAGGGAGGAGGGAAGGGAGGGAGGGAGGGAGGGAGGGAGGGAGGGAGGAGGAGGAAGGAAGGAAGGAAGGAAGGAAGGAAGGAAGGAAGGAAGGAAGGAAGGAAGGAAAACTTTTAGTCCTGGCTGGTGTGGCTCAGTTACTGTCCCATGCACTGAGAGGTCACTGGTAAAATTCAGCTCAAGGCACATGCCGGGGTTGCGAGCTGGATCCCCAGTAGGGGGCGTGCAGGAGGCAGCTGACTGATGTTTCTATCTCTTTCTCTCTCCCTCTCCCTTCCTATTGACCTTTTTTTAAAAAAAAAACAAAAAAGTTAAAATGTTAGAAGTCCGTGAATGTCATTCTTGTGTCTCACTTCTAAGTTTGGCGCTCGCTCGTGTTTCTATCCACATTTGCTCCACATCCCAAAACAAGAAGGAAATTACAGAAGAAGCCCGTCCTTTAAAAAAATGACTTTCCAACACAGCCCCTTGGGTTCCCATCCTGAGCCCCCCCGTGCCCGGCTCTGCGTTATCTTATCTGACCCTCGCAAGAACCCTCCAACTTCCATCTAACAGACGAACTCAGGAGAGCTCAGAATGTTTAAGTAACTTCCGCGAACTCGTGTTAACTAGGAAATAGCAGAGTTTCAAGAATCTTTGCTTGAGCCCTGGCCGGTTTGGCTCAGTGAATAGAGCATTGGCCTGGGGACTGAAGGGTCCCAGGTTAGATTCCGATCAAGGGCCCATGCCTGGATTGCGGGCTTGATCCCCAGTAGGGGGCATGCAGAAGGCAGGCAATCAATGATTCTCTCTTCCTCTCTCAAATCAATAAAAATATATTTTTTCAAAAAAGAATCTCTGCTTGACTCTCCACTACTCTCCCACACTGTACCCCACAGAGCGGAAGAACCATGCCAATCAACCATGGGACCTCTTGACTCTCACCTACTCTCTTACTATTCCCTGTAGGATCGAAGAACCACACCAACCAATTCAATCATGGAACCCCTTTATATTCCGCCCAGACTCAGCAAACAGGGCTACGGAGCTTAGGAAACCACACCAGCCTCTATGGGCAAATAACATGTGAACTCCCCAAAGACATGAAAAAACGGGCTCGCGAAAATGAACAACAAAGTTTAAGTGATCAATTTTGTCAGGTAGACAAAGGATAGCGATAACAGTATATAATACTTCTTCTGTATTTTACAACTTTGTAGACTGTTCTTTTTTAAAATATTTTTTATTGATTTCAGAGAGGAAGGGAGAGAGATAGAAACATCAGTGATGAGAGAGAATCATTGATCGGCTGCCTCCTGCACGCCCCCTACTGGGGATCAAGCCCAAAACCCAGACACGTGCCCTGACCAGGGATCAAACCCTGACCTCCTGGTTCATAGGACAATGCTCAACCACTGAGCCACACTGGCCAGGCTGTAGTCTGTTCTTGACCTTCAGACATAGTAGTGGGTGCTAACCTTGTCGCCTTCACTCGCCAGAGCTCGAGTGAGTTGCAGAAGCGCCCTGACCCAGCACAGACATTCTTTGTGTGCCCTGGCACCACACACAGGGGCCCGCGGGGCAGGCACGGTGCAAGTGCTCAGCTCATGGCAGACTTTCTCCCAGCAGCTGCCCGTTGCCGGCACAGAGAGCACGGGGAGCGGCTCCTGGGGCCCCGGCCGTGTGTCGGCTGAAGGAGCCAAGCGAGGAGCGTGCTGTGATCTCAGACCTCTAACAGGGTTCACCCCTTCCCCCCATGGCCCGGTTTCTGAAGTCAGCCCTGAAAACGAGCTATTCTTCTCTTCCTCAGATTCTCTCTCCTCGGATTCTCCAAAATAATTCAATGTCCACCTTTCCCTTTGGGAAAATCAAAGGTTGACATGGCTGCCTTTTGAGCTCAAGCTGTTCAAGATCCCTTTCTTCTCTTCAAAAAGTTTCACTGATTTTGAAAGGTCTTATTGATAAAACGCAGAGAGAGAAACTCAGGGGGACAGGACAAAGAGAAAGGAGAAGAAAGAGAAAGAATAAAGAGGCCGGGAAAGAAAGAGAAGAAAGAGGGAGCCCGGGGGAGAGGCGAAGGCTCCTGAACGTGCGCGGTCGCTGAGGGCTAGAGCAGGGTCCGTGAAACAATCGTGGGGTGTTATTTTTAAAAACCGAGGGGGAAATATTTACACAAAATCCAAATAACATTGCTCTTTGTTCCATGCTGGGAAACGACAATGTATTCAATTCGTTCGCTCATGAATTATTCTGCGTGATGCTGCCTGCTGGCATCGTTAGCATTTCTGAGCTGAGTATTTAAGAGAATAAGGGAGGAATTCAGGAACTGAAGATAGAAATGAAGAATAATTTTTGGTTTTGTTTTTGTGGCTCCACGTGTCTGTTTGGGTGGTATGGGTCCCGCCTTAGTGAGATGAGGGGGTTGGGGTGAGTGAAATGGGTGACATGAAACCTAACTCCTCCGGAAATTGAACCCTCTGCCTGCCACGTGTGTAGAGAAGTCACATGGCTTTCAACAATCCTCTAACCTGTGCTCGTCAACGAGTGTCAAAGAAGAGATGCTCCTATAAACACATCCCAGGAGCCAGTGGGGCCTGAATTACGTTTAGCAAGTTCTGTGTCCCAATGAGCAGCAGATTCACCCAGAGACGTGACTTACCCGCGGAATTAAGTCGGCCACAGCTGTCGACTCTTCCCAGGCATTCTTTGTGTGCCCTGGCGCCACACTTGAAGCATAAATAGCCCTGGTAAAAGGTTCCTCTGAAAGGTGAAGCGGGAGACAGAGGGGTGAGCAGGCGCTGAGCTCTGCCATTACACAGTCATTAGTGCGAGAAAGAAAAACGGGAACACAGTGCTGTGTGCGAAGCCCCGGCAGGGGGCCTCCTGCCCTGGGGACCCGTCCAGGTTCGAGGCCCAGGAGAGCTCTGTGGGGTCCACACCGTTAAGACAATATCCCCATGTCTCCCCCCAACCCCCACCCCCCACCCCCAACCCCCGTCCAGGAACCTTGGGCTGGGACGTCAGGGGAGCCTGCAACGCTCAGCAATGAGGCCGGCTCCCTTAGGCTGGCCGCTGGCCGCTGGCCGCGCGGAGCTCACCTGAGCAGCATCTGGCAGGCCTTGCAGGAGGTCACCCGGCTGAAGGTGTGCATCTTAAACTCGTGGAAATTGGAGTCGGCATGGTCTGGCCTTATGTTGGATCTGGAAGAAGGGAAAGAAGCAAGTTCCTAAAGAAAGGCTCCCAGGGAAGGAGCAGTCCAGTCATCGGAAACCTGAGTTCATCAACATCCCATGGGGTGGAGATCTGATTCGAGCAAAAAGGCTCTTCCATACGCAACGTTTCTAAAAGCCAAGGGTGTGTTTTGCCTTAAAACGTGCACCGAAATCTCACTGTCTCAGAGCCAGCAGCCTGATCCTCCCTAGAATCAAGTGTTCCCAGAGAACTTTCCAGAATAGCCACGGAAGTCAACCTTTCGGGGAAAACACAAAACGGGCTAGACAGTCACTTCTTGTCTCTGGCCACAGCCCTGAGCTATAAGCTAGCTGGAGGGGGCGAGGGTGGGGCAGAGGGTCCCTCCACAGGGCCCGCCTCTGCAGAGGCGCAGGGCTGCTGTGACGGTCTGTAAAGGCGAACGAAATCATTTCACCAAACGTTTGAAACAAGGGACCAGTCTGAGCATTAAACACTTCCTCAAGGGTAGACAAGCAGTTCACTGAGGGAGGGAGGCAGCCAGTGCAGGCTTAACCAAACAAACAAACGAAACAAAAACCTCCTCCTCGACAAACAATTCACTTTCCTTACAATGCAGGTAAAACTAAACAAACAAAAGCTATGACTTACATTTTTCAAATATATTTTTCTTGATTTCAGAGAGGAAAGGAGAGGGAGAAAGGGACAGAAACATCAATGATGACAGAGAACCATCGATCGGCTGCCTCCTGCACGCCCCACTGAGGATCGAGCCCACAATCCAGGCATGTGCCCTGACTGGGAATCGAACTGTGACCTCCTGGTTCATGAGTTGACACTCAACTACTGAGCCACACTGGCCAGGCTGTTTTATATTTTATGTACACATACACAAAAGTACACTAAGCCTACTGCCAACTGACATTCTCAGTGTGACAACCACAAGCTGATCATTATTTTGTTTGACCTTCACGCCGATCCTAGCTGGAGCGGGGGGTGGGGGGACTAATGAGGTCACTCATTTACAATCTAGGACGCAGTTGCTTCTATTAAGGCAAAGAAAATGGCAGGGCCAAGACCTCCAAGCCTGGTCTGTGCTTCCCACCGCCAAAGCTCTAGCCCAAGGTAATTTCACCTTAATATCCTTCGACTTGTGTGACTGGTAGGTCTGTGGAAACAGCTAAGTCTAGCCATTTCTAGAGGACTTTTTACATATCCGCAGTTTACCCAGGTCACAGACAAAAGCAGGAAAATTAGAAAAGGGTACGTTAAGTATGGATACGAAGCAGAGCTACACCTAGAGAGCCAAGACGATGCTCTCCGGGGTGTCTCAGCAATTTGCGGGGTTGCAGGGACAGCGTGAGACACGGATGAGCGGGGATGTCCCCTCTTACAGACTCGCAGCTCTCAGCCACGCGGAGCCTTGGCCTCAGACTCCGAGGGGCCGGGAGGAGCCTTATGAAAAAACATGCGCCAAGGCGATGGGAGCAGCAGGCAGGGGCAGAGGGGTCAGAGGTCAGCCCTCCACCCCGTGGGCTGAAGGGGAGCGTGCTACAAATGCAATCGCGCATCCGTGCCACCGGGGATGTCCCCGCTTCGGCTCCAGGCGACCTCTCTCTGTAGGAGACGACTCCCATGCATGCTGAGAGGCATTCGGTGCTGCTGATGACACATCAGAGAAAAGACAGGGATCTGGAAACAAAGCTCTCTTCACATTGTTCAGAAAATACTGGATTCTTCTTTTAAAAATATATTTTTCTCATTGATTTCAGAGAGGAAGGAAGAGAAGATAGAGAGACAGAAACATTAATGATGAGAGAGAATCACGGATCGGTTGCCTGCTGCACGCCCCCTACTGGGGATCGAGCCTGCAACCCGGGCATGTGCCCTGACCAGGGAATCGAACCGTGACCTCCTGGTTCCTAGGTCAACGCTCAACCACTGAGCCACACCAGCCGGGCAACATTTGATGCTTGAGTCCATAAAGCTAAGCTTTGAAAGGCGCATCTAACCCCATTCCCTTAGCCAGGAAGGGCTGTTCGTTCTCTGTGTGCATTAAAGTAAGAGTCATAGATGAATTGTCAGGTAACAGCCGCGGTCCTGGGAACTTGAAAAATTCATCAGCCTGGAGTTTAGGGCTCTAAGTAGGTCTTCTTCAGGCAGAAACTCGTGTCAATGGGTCCCAAAGAGGGAAGAACTGGATTCATTTTAGAAACCGACCTGGGACCTAGTGGAACCCCTGTCTCTCAAGGTCAATTCAAGTTGACCTTGGACCATGTCTACTTAACACTTCTGCCCACTAACGAGGAATAAGCTGACTTTTCAGAAGCCAAAAAGCTGAGAGGAGAATCGCACTGGGAGGTTAAGAAGGGAAGTCTGATAATAGAGAAAATAATCCTGAAAATGTCCCGAGGAGGGGTTGGTCTGGGGGAGATGAGACCGGAAGCGGCAGGTAGGACAGCAGGGGGCAACGGCTGAAATGCTTGAAAACGCTAACGGCACATGGCTTTTAAATTTTAAAATCAAACACTAGAGAGTGAGAGTTAACTCCCTGACCCTGGGCGGCTCCTGGGGCACAGCGGAATCTGAAAGCAGAGCTGAGGGCAGGAGGCCGAAATTCCACCTGGGCTGCAATCCCAGCTCCAGAACCGGCAGTGCGACCTCGGGCAGTGGGCCAGCAACACCCAGGAATACTAATCAACTCCAACTCCTGCAGGGAGGGAGGCGTGAAAGCGCTTAGGACTCAGCCTGGCCCAGGCCTGGTGACCGATGAGGACTGGCTAGCATTTGGGAATTGCTGACTCCAAACCCACATAGCAACGATGTTGTCAGCCTCGTGCTGTGAGAGGCAAAGGGTCCCTCGGTAGCCTTGGGACTGAGTCCCCGGAGGACTCCCCTTAGGAAGGCTGCTACATGCTCAGGGTCCTTGTGCCCGGAGCCACGTGTAATTATTTATTTTTTTAAAAATATATTTTATTGATTTTTTACAGAGAGGAAGGGAGAGAGATAGAGAGTTAGAAACATCAATGAGAGAGAAACATCGATCAGCTGCCTCCTGCACATCTCCTACTGGGGATGTGCCCGCAACCCAGGTACATGCCCTTGACCGGAATCGAACCTGGGACCTTCCAGTCCCCAGGCCGACGCTCTATCCACTGAGCCAAACCGGCTTCGGCTGTGTAATTATCTAAATTAAGCACGGTAAGGAGTGCGGTGACTCGGGGGAGGACAGGTATGAAAAAGTCCCGGAATGACACCAAGTCAGTCACACCAAGGGCCCACTGAAGGGAGGTGTCAACACGCACGGTCTACAGCCGGTGGGGTGCAAACACCGAGGACAGGCTCAGTGGGTGCGCGTCGACCTAGGAACCAGGAGTTCGACTCCCGGTCAGGGCACATGCCTGGGTTGGAGGCAGCTGATCAATGACTCTCTCTCTCATCACTGAGCTGAGTCAGGGGCTCCAGCAAACCCAGGGCACTGCAGCTGGGGCTGCCGGCGGGCGGTGGTGCTGTGCCTCCTCCCTCCTCTTCCTTGTCTTCTCCATCGGGAGGTCTGATTGGATCTTCCAAAATATATACATAAGCGCCTGTGGAAGCTGTAACCTCTGTCTCTTAGAATGGGGGCAGGGGGAGAGCGGAGGGGGGCAGCACACTTCCTCTGTAAGCGCCCAGAGAGTCCATAGACCCTGGGGTCTGTGTCACCCTCAGTTCTCTCACGGTGATGATGACACAGACAGAGGTAGTACATACATGTGTCCCATCACGCGGGGTGGGCCGGCCATGTTTGACCCGTGAGTCATGTTAGCAGATCCCCATCTTACAGTCCAAGGAAGGTGCCTTTGGCCTGGGGAATGGAAGGATGCGGCGCTGCCCTCCACGGTCTCAGCGGGGTGGCCCTTCTCAGAGGGATTTATTTCATTATTTCTTTAGCGGCACTAACTCCTGGGGAGGCCGTCAGGAGGCATCAGCTGCAGAAAGCTCCCATCTCCACGGAAACCAGACCCGGGCAGAGGAGCTGCCGTGGGCATGCTTCCCTGCTGTCCACTGAAGGGTGCAAACACCTGCTCCCAGGGGCCTGGTTTCACTGAGTGTTTTTAAAAAATATATTTTTATTGATTTCAGAGAGGAAGAGAGAGAGAGAGAGAAACATCAATGATGAGAGAAGCATCCATCAGCTGCCTCCTACACGCCCCACACAGAGGATCGAGCCCAAAACCCGGGCATGTGCCCTGATCGGGAATAGAAACGTGACCTCCTGGTTCATAGGTCGATGCCCAACCCCTGAGCCAGGCCGGCCGGGCTCATTAAGCTGCATTACGTGGTTACAGGAAAGGACTCAAGGCCGCCAGCGACAGCCCGGCCAGCTCTCCTGGGTCAGCATCCCCATGTCAGCGAGGACAGCTCTGCGGTCAGTGACGCTCCTCGTGCTCGAGACGCCCCCTTCCCGGCAGTCACAACTTCGTGCCTCTCATTTCATCTGAACGTGCCCTTCCTGGAGACCTGGGAGGAGACGGGAGACGATGCTGGTGTCCCGAGTGGGCCCGAGCGGGGGCCTTCCTGCAGGGCGTATGTGGGGCGACATTCTGACTGTGGCGGCACGTGCTTGGGCTTTTTCGGGGTGTCCCCAGCCTGCCGCGGTCTGTTTGGACACTGGTTCGCCTTCTGGGCAGAACTACTAAGGTACCATCCACAGAGCGTCTCCGTGCTGGTTGCCCGCACGCACGTTTGTGTCCTGGAGAGATGGCTTGCTCTAGAAGCCACCTTTTATTCTTTCTCCTTGAAAGGTTTTCGTTGCCAGCTTTCAATGTGAAGAATTTGTTTTTGGCTATGAAATCCATGCGGACGCCATCCGCGGCCCTGGGCTGAGCTGAGTCTCGGGGTGCTGACCGGGTCGCATGAATCTCCCACGATGAGCCGGCCGCTCTCCCGAATCTCACGTATGGTTCGCGCAGGGAGCTGGACCTGTGTTGGCAGCGCTGGCAGAAGCAGGACACGGGACAGTGCTCAGAAC